TTTCATGTTGTGCTGTTATTTTCTCTTCCATTCAAAATAAAAGTCTTATTAGAATGAACTCAACAAACGGGAGTAAAAACACAAGTAACTTCAGATTATTTTTCATAATTTGGAGCAGACTTCCACGAGTTTATTTCTGTTATTGAGTTGCTTCCAGTTGCAAAAGGCTCATTTCCGTGTTTTACTTCTCTGACTGTAGAACCACAGACTGCACATGTTTCCCTGAACAGATGATGGCAGCAGAGGCGTGGACTCATTCAGAATACATTTATTACTGACAAGCAGTGTTGGAACGTTAATAAGTACAATAACTGAGTATTTTAATTACTCTGTTTCTGTTTCACTACATTACGGAGGGACGTACTGTACTTTTTACTGCACTACATTTATCCAGTGGTGGGCCGTCAGGGCCAGCTAAGCCTTCTCTGCTGGCCTAAACAGAATCACAAAGTTATAGCTATTTTATCATTTACACAAAGACAGCTCCTGTCTTCCTCTGTTGCTCTGCTTCCAGCACAGCTTGCTTTAAGGAGAGCTTTTATCCAGTCAGATTCAGCCTCTATGTCTCCATGTAAGGAGAGAGGCCAGAGGCCCTCTAGACTTTGCAGATTAAAGTGAATGGGGACGATGTTGTTGATTGTCATAGTCTTCAACCAATCAGATCTTTAGTTTGACGTGTTGGGCGTATTCTTTGACGTGCCAGTGGCACCGAGGTACCTGCTAAGTACGTCTGCATTAACGTGCGCTGTGATTGGTCAGTGGGCCAGCGTGTGACTAATGTGAAATTTAAGGAATCTGGCAGAAGTTAGTTAATTAAGAATTCAAATTGAAAGATATGGAAGAAATTATAACATCTTTAGGTTTTGCTTGGTGTAGTTTATTTGTAACTGAGCGTCTTGGTGTTTGGAGCTATGCTATGCTAACCTGAGGACGCCGTAGCACGGCAGGACACTACGGTGCTTTTGAAAACTTTTGGAGAAACCCGAGTGGATCTACACATCAACGAACACGTTCGCAGGGAAACGGAGCTCCACAACCGCGGTCCGCCCACGGCCGGTCCGCGCCTCAGCGCGCCGGCGCAGGTGGGATCCGGGCCCCGCTGCGAACCGGCGAAATACAACTGGGGAGGCTCGACTGTCACTGCGTCCATGAATCGAGAAGGACTTCTTACTGGAACTGACAAGAGTTCAATCCCAGTACATCGTTCACTTAAACGTCTTTAAGTGAACAGCATTCGGTAAGTGACAAACGTTTGTTTGTTTACATCGTTTGTTTGTCTATGTGTGGTTTCATGAATAATATTTGATGGCTCGTGCTCTTGTGTGGTGGAATGATTGATGTGTCATGCTTTGTTGTCATATGAATATATGTGACTGGTTCTTATGACTTTGTTGTTGTCATTGTGTTAATTACGTTGATCTTTATTTTTCATCACAGTGGCAGTGATGGGCTTCCATACTACGTCTTTAATAAAACAGAAAGTGATCCCGTGAAGAGAAGGAATCGTATTAAAGTTGTTTCTTCATCGTTGGATGTAAAATATAAAGCAGACTTCTTCCTGCGCTGTACCGCCCCCAGCAGGCGGAGGCCGGTACTGCTACAACCGGCCATAATCGGCAGTGGGAGTGGATGAGCCTTAAACCGGAGCGGCTCAGTCAGTCTGATCCTCCCCAGGAGCGCTCTTATCGGGAGGGGACACCGCCAGCTACACTCCGACTGGAAACGGGAGCCGGTGTCCGGTGCACCGGCATGCGTCGATCTGTTTGCTCCTAGTGTTTCCCTCTCCAGCGGCGGCGGTGCCCTCCATGCGTCAGCACCCCACCTCTCCCTCCCTCCGACACCAACACCGGGAATGGATCAGGAATCCGGTGCGGCGGCGCCCGCGGGGAGTTTCATCTCCCTGAACGAGCACGAGCAGAGGTATTACTCGGGTCTGCACAGCCTGTGTCAAGCCGACGCCTCCGGAACGCTGTCGTCCGGTAAAGTGGCGGAGCTGTTCAAGGCGTCTCAGCTGCCGCCGGAATCCCTGCACAAAGTGAGTGTCAGCTGCTCGGTCGGTCGCATGTTATCACGTGTGAAGGGAGCTGCGGCTGGAGGGCAAAAGAACCTCTGGTGGTCACTGAGCCGAGGTCTAGAGGATCCATGAGATGCTTCTTCTGTGCAGTTTTATTTCTGGTGGTTTGGATGTTGCACGTGACAGACGGAGGTCTCTCTGCACTGGCAGCTGCACATTTTGTCTGCATGTCCCCCTAAGTGCCTTTGTGGCCCTGCAGCATTTCAGTCTGTTGATCTACAGGAAATATGCATTTTATACACGGTTGTGTTCAGGGACAGGCTTTTAGTTGTAGTCGTGAAAACTAGAGCTGTCATTTCAAACCACCAATCAAAGCAGAGGAGACTCCGTTACTGCAGTGACTGTTTCTAGGCCTCAAAATGCATTTTTATAAAAAAAGTTAAATTTAATGTAACTGATATTGTAAACAAATAATAATAATACTAACAAGTATATGTTGATCTTAGTGAACAATCTGCATTCCAGCAAAATGCACTTTCATTTAAAGTGTTTTCATAATATTTTGGCAGCATGTTGAGCATTTTTAAGTACCAAGTTTGACAATGTGTCTGAAAAGAGAAACTCAAAAATATATTGCTTTTCTATGTCTTTTCCTTAATAAGTCCTCTTTCTCTCTTTGTTTGAACGGCTTACACTTTGTCGTTCAGCTTACTTGAAAATGTTAAATCAACCGGTTCCCTGATATTTTCCTAGAAATATGAACTCTTGGACTTGTGAGGATAACTTATTTTTTACAAGTACTGCTTACTTATCATAACTCAGATCTTTAAGTTGTCTAAATTGGTATTTTATAGTCAATCTTAGTAATGGTTTTAAGTTGACTTTACTCAGATCTCTCAATTGTCTAAACTGACATTTTATAGTCAACTCTATTTGTGATTGTGAGTTAACTGAGCTCAGGCTTTGAGTTGCCTAAACAAAGTTCTTTTCAACCTTAATAAGCTTCTTCACTTTTAAGTAATGTCAACTTATTACCATTTACACTGTAGGTGTGTGCTCCATATTATGAATCCTTCTTGACTCAGTTATGTAAAGAGCTTGTTTACTATGAGCAGAACCTTCTTGATGGTGTTTTTCTAGAAAATATAAACCAAGCAACGTGACTCATTTGAGCTTATTTTCTTAATAATTCATCGATCGTTTTGTCCAGAACATGTTTGAAAGTGATGAAAAGTGTAAAAGAAATTCCTGTCGACTAATTAATTAGTAGATTTTATGGAAATAGACTAAAAGTAGGGCGGACATTTTTACGTTGTCATTTGTACAAAAGAAAATGGCGATTGTTGTTAGTTGTAATGGCGACAACCACGGACTGTGTAGTAGAAGTGGACGTAGTCGTGACGTCGCTCATCGGTTTGTGGACTGATGTTATGAAGCCTCGAGTTTGGTGATTTCACTGTCGCCATCTTGTCTTTCTCTGGAGCAACAGGGAGTGAGGCGGAGCAACTGTCACACATTTTCTGTAACCAGTGTAGCATGATGGAATTAGCTGGTGAGCTAACTAGCCAGCTGTCCGCTAGTTAGCTAGCTAGTTTGGGAGGTAGCGTTTCCTTCTCTAGAGCGATGGGGAGTAAGGCTGATTGACCGTTAGGCTCCGCTCTGCCGCTGGCCACCAGCCTCATTTTCTGTAACCAGTGTAGCATTAAAGCATGGGGGAATTAGCTAACTAGCCAGCTAACTAGCTAATTCTAGCATGCTTTAATGCTACATTGGTTACTGAAAATAAGCCAAACAAAGTTGTCACTCAGATGTTGATAGCAATGATCTTTCCGCTCCTATTTCATTTCTATGGTTGATTTAATCAACAGAGAATCGCACGAAAGCACCACTTAAAATATTGTGTCGATCAGTCATTCAGCGTGACAAAATCATAAAGAAATTACTAATTGACTGAAGAGCAGTTTCGATCGTAGTTTCCCAGACCTTAATGTGACTTATTCAGATCGTTTGTTTTGTCGGACATGTGGTTTATAAATCCTAAGTAATTCGTTATTAATTATTATTAATTATTATTATGAATGAGAAAAGTCCTCACAGTTTGGAAACTGAGATCAGAAAATGATTACAAGAAAAACTACATTTTGATTATCATTTATCAAAGTTGTTGGCAATAGTTTTTTTCTGTCTGTCATCTAAATATTTGACTAATTGTTTGAGCTCTGCAGTGAACAATTTAGCAAACCGTGCTTCTGTATTTTTAGAAGCACTTTTCCTATGATTCCACTGCAACCATTGTTTTCCCTTCGTTTCCATCACAGTGAACATTAATATTAAAGGTGAACTAAGAAAGGACAAAGTAACACATTCTAACTCGTACAAATTTAAAAGTTAAATTCAAGAGCAATAAAATGCACCTTGGCTCAGTTTGTCTGGTATGACCAGCCGTTAACTATGACCAACAATAGAAAGCATTAGTGAGAGATTCATACACATATACAGGACATTAATGAGTGAGTCTTGACTTCTCTGCGCTTGTGCTATTTTTACACTACGTTACACTACATTGAGGAAATGCTGTGCAAACTTTTCAAACTGCATTAACAAACAACAACAGTTTGACTATATGACAAAAATAGTACAGGCTTGATGTTCACTGTGAAAGAATAGACATTTTCGATACTGGACATAAATTAATGGAAACCAATGGCTGCCTGGAGCCGGAGGGGGGGAAAGCAACAATGTGAAATGTATATGATTTGTAGTTCAGGAGCTGAAACTTGCACAAAACAAACACTGGCATGGTACCATAAGTTTGCACCCACTATTTTTTAATCAAAGTATAATTTGAACCTGGAGATAAAATCATTTTATTTTTCTGTACAATCTCTGAGATAGAAATATCTCTCTTCATAGTATTCATTTAAAGGATGATACATAAGTGCTAAACAGTTTTTTCATTGGCTCCAGAACTACTGAGTCAGAGTACTTTTGCTGACCCATCACTGGGACATAAACATATTTTTCCAGCTCAGATGAACGCAGCAGGTTGCGCCGGGCCTCCGTTCATGACACTCGCGGTCCCCGTGGGACGATCCCGGCCCATTGTGTCTCTGAGTGGGTGTCAGGAAGTTTGGCATTGAGCTGCGCTTTCCTTCCTGTCCGGGCCTGGACTGCCGCCACACAGGGGTGATTGACACACAGCCTCTGAGCTGTGCTCGGCCCGGCTGCAGGATGTCTGCAGGATCGCTCCGTGGTCTCTGTGCTGGCTTCTGGGTCATTGTGTCAAACCGTCACACAAATGGTGCGTTTCCTCCGGGAATCACGATGACATAGGAGATGTGAGGCGGATTGTCGCTGTGAATATACACTTTGTTTTTTGTCAAAACAAGGTTGAATTTCTCTTCATGACCGAGTGTTTCTTTGTGGAGTCATGGTTCCCCTAACGTGAGCAGCTTTACAGAGGAAGGATCTTTATGTCTCGTCTGTGTTTACAGCAGATAAGGAGTTGGAGCAGGACTCTTCTCTTCTCCGGCTCCACTGTGGTGTCTGTGGAGCCGGCAGCCACTCAATCATCAGAATACAATCAATCTGTATGCTGCCCTCATGGACAGCAAACGTTTCCCATAATGATGATGATGATGATAATAATAAAAACAACTTTATTTATATTGCACCTTTTTAAAAAAAAAAAAGAAAAAAAAAAAGTTTAAAACGTGCTTTGTGTCACGGTTGGGTTTTGCTATGCGTGTGTGTGTGTGTGTGTCTCCTAATCATGCTCATTCTCTCCACCTGTGCCAAATCACCTGCCCCTGGTTTTTCCCTCTGCAAACCCCACTCATTTCCACTCACCTGCCGGCAATCCACTCATCAGCCCTCACCTATTTATACTCCCCTGCTTGCACTGTTCCAGTTGCCGGATTATCATTTGTTCCTTTTCCCTCCCCGTGGACATCTCTCGTGTTGACCCTCTGTGTTCCACGGTTTGTGAATGCCTTTTTGTGACTTTGCTTCATATTCCAGTTTGGACTTTTTCTGCTCCCGGTTGGAGCTGTTTTTGGTTTCTGTTTTTGTGTATGCTTAAGTGCCCAGTAAAGAGCCTTGCAGTTTACCTCTCATTGTGTGTAAGTCTGCGCCTGAGTCTCTGCGCCAATCCTAAACCCACACGGTAAACTGTGAACCGTCGCACTTTGACAGACAAAGCAAAGAAAAAGTGAAGCAATATAACAAAAGAAAGCCAAACAGTGAGGCCCAACAGAGCCAGACCAACTCAAACGTAAACACGGATAAAACGGTACATTTATTTTAATGTAAAACAATAAAATAAAAGCAGTAAAAAGACCGCATCACATAAAAACCAGCCTGTAAAAATGAAGTTTAACAAGTGATTTAAATGTTCAAAAGCAAGACACACTAAGGTCAACTTTAAATCCTTCATAAAACAATAGGTGAGACAATAAAACCAATCTATACAATAAGAACTTAATTAAATTAATTTAAATCAGAACAAAACCAAATCTTATTTACTTGAATTTAACAATAAAATAAAAGCAGTTAAAAGAACAATACACATGAAAGCCAGTCGGTAATAACGAAGCTTTAAGAAGTGATTGTAATGTTCTATCAAGAGAACATTTAGAGAGCATCATGGGAGGTTAGCCTCCAGTGTTTAGCGCTGTCTCACCCTTCAGTGTCTGCTGGAGTGAGTCGTCCGTCTGAAGGTGAGTCTCAGGTATGTGCAGCATGTTGACAGACCTTGTTGTGGAACCTGTCTGCTTGCAGAAGGTGTGGCCTTGATCCAGATGGAACTGAACACAAGACGCTCATTGTTTTATCAGCTTGTGGTGAGGCTGGTTGGTGTATTGTTGGTTTTTTGGGGGGATATTTGTGATCCTCAGAGGGTGAATCCTACTGACTTTGGTGGTCTTTACTTTACATTACAGTAATTCAGCAGATGCTTTTATCCAAAGCGACTTACAATAAGTGTATTCAACATTCAAGAGAACTACCAGTAGGGCTGGGCGGTATACCGGTTCAACCAGTATACCGGTTTTAATTTCCCGTATGATATGAATTTTTCATATATGGTCATACACACAGCCGAAACAACTGCTGTCGCTCTTCAACAGGCAGCAAAATATATTGTTTAAGTCTGAGCTAGTTTTCTTAAGTGTATTGAGAGGGAACCCTAGTCATGGTTATAACTTTATAATAACAATTAACAACCCACTAACGCGCTTTAACAGGGAAAAACACCACAACACAACAGTTTGTGACACATAAACTATTTGTAACTAATAATTGCATGCTGGGTACAGCTCGCTAACAGCAGTCTGCTAACAGCTGGGAGAGGCTCTGTCGCTCCAGTAACGTTGCATTAAAGAACAGAAAAGCTGATTACCGTAATATGTGTATTTGTTATAAATGTACGCTGGTACATAGAGGGTGATAAGAAGCTGTACTTGGAGGGGCTTAGGACCCAGGGGAATGTAGATGAAGGAAACAGGAAGTGATGGAACGGAAGACATGCCACACAAACAGCTGTTCACCGCTCGCTGGCCGGTTCTTTTCGGCGTTAATTAATTAATGCTTTAACGTGGAAAAAGAAATGCCGTGAAACCGCCGAGTCTTACAAAATACCGTCATATGCATTTTTGGTCATACTCCCAGCCCTAACTACTCGTCACCAGAAGTGATGAGTGCATCTCCTTTTTTAAACGAGCATCTAAGAGCGTGAACCCGAGCAACAGTACAGAAACAAACTAATATGAATACAATAAGTACTCTGACATTTCTTGTAGCGCCATCAGCAGTTTATATTTGTATACTTATCTTGATAAATATCTCAACATCTTAGATGGATTGGCACATCTTGTAAAAACATTCATGGTTCCCAGATGATGAGCCCTAACAGCTTTGGTGGTCAACAGCTAACGTTAGCTTTCTTCTATCTTGTCAAAACCTACATTACCCACAATGCAAGTCAATGACTGTTAGGTTGGAGTGTTAGGTGTTTCAGGGGAGTATCATGTTGGTGTAGCCTCAAGCGGAGATGAACAGCTGATGTGTTCGTGTCTTCATAATGATAAATGTCAGTTTTTCTTCACTGCGTTGCTGCAGCGGATGAGCTGTAATGTCATTGACATGAATGTGAACAGTAGAAGCAGAGTGCAGAGAGCTCTGTGAGCTTCAGAGTCGCTGGTATTTTGTGATTAACGGTTGATTTCTTTCAGTATTTAAAGGACTCACGTCGTCGGTCTCACTTTTCAAGAAGCTCCGGGTTTTTTTCAAAACAATATTTCTTTCAGTTGTAACTTGAGGAATTTATACACGGTTGTCGTCCATAATCCTCACTGCTGATCCCTCACATTATGTTCCTTTTATAGCTCCACTGTGTTCGTACAGCTTGTAACTTTTACACTACACATTATCTTTGGCCATGATGTAAAATCATCACGTTAAAGAAAAATACAATTTGCTGGTCTTAATATTTGCCAAGATAATATTTCCAATTATTTATTTTTCATCTGTGAGAGAAGAGGCTGGAGAAGTTTTATCAGAATAATCTTTTTAAAGTTTTTCAATTATTTCTTGTGTCAGGATTGTTTGTTGTTGTAATTCTCATTTCAGCCACAAGAGGCTGACGTGAACCACGACTCAATGTTCTTCATGTGACTTAAAGCATTCATGTTCGTGTTCAGAGTGCAGCGAGAAATTAAAGACAAAATAAATGCTTTTAGTTCTATTTAAAACACGAGGAAGTGTTTCAGCCTCTTGTGGCTGAAATGAGTATTACAACAACAAACACTGACAACTGATCCTGACTAAATGAGTAGAATCAGCTGTTTCACTGTTTATGAAAAGAAGGAACACACTCTGCTTTATGAAAGATGAGATTTAATATAATATATTCTTAAAGCATAGTTGTCCTTCAAAAATAATGAAAAACTCTTCTTTTCCAGGTGACTGATTTGTGTGACTGACAAAAACCTGTTTCCACAGATGGAAAGAAAACATGAAGTAATTTAGAGATATATTATTCTGGCAAAACCTTTATTTTTTCCACCCGTTCTTCTTTTGAGTCTTTGGGCTTCCGTAGTCTCTGTTCCTGAAAAGAGTGACACACTTTCAGCTGTATGAAACACGATATTTAATGTATAAAGCATCTTAAAAGACAAAACTCGTCTCCTCCAGGTGACGGAGTTGTGTGGGGCGAAGCGTCTGGGTTACTTCGGTACGCCGCAGTTCTTCGTGGCCCTGAAGCTGCTGGCGGCGGCCCAGTCCGCCCTGCCCATCCACCTGGAGAGCATCATGGCCAGTAAGTCGGAGGAGGAGGGAGGAGTCTCAGCAGAGCAAAAAAGGGGATCAGGAGATTACCTTGACGTGGCAGGATTTGGTGTAATCTGGTTTAAGTGGGTTTGTCCTCATTAGAAGAGCCGCACCATCAGTCACACCAAGACCTGAGAGAGAATCAGTTCTACAAGTGAACTTAATGGGTCATTATTAAAAAGTGTGTTCACGTTGATCTGATTCGTCTCATTCATCACACAGGAAGCTCACAATCAGACAAATCCTCTTTCTGTACATTAAACAAGTTCAAGATAAGAAAAGAAAGAAACTAATCCCTGCGTGTCTCCTTTAGATCTACCTCTGCCCAGGTTTGTCGGGCTCAAGACCGAGCCAGAGATGCGTTACTCTGTCGTCCCCCCGAGCATAGATGGTCAGGGGGCTCAGTGCGGGACCGGGCCCCCTGGGTCCGTCTCCTGGACTCCAGCAGACCGGAGACACCCGGAGGACCACTTCGACAGGAAGGTGAGCTCGGGATGACGTGTGTCGACCTCTCGCTCTCCGACGTGATTCTCTTAGAGTTTGTAATAAAGCACGGATCACTGAGGAGAGGAACGGTGCAGAGACATTCCTGTGGGCTTTAGTCAGCGGAGCAGAAAGGCCTCGTTGTTTGAGAGATTAGAGCAGAACGAGACTCCTTCAACGCTCCAGACCGCCTCCAAGGACCCGCAACACAAACCTCATGAAACCTCCATGTGCACATTAAGATACACTGGTTTAACTCATAGACATCACCATGAAGGTTTATGAAATGTTATGTTTAAATATGCAAATGAGGCATTGTCTAATGGTAACCTTTGGTGAATTTAGGAGAAATCTACAGACACAAACAGACAAAGTAGTAAAATAAACGTGTTATTTCCTCGTCTGAAGACGCGTTATAGACACACCAGACTCCATTCACTCAAACACTGACTCTACCTCTCAGGAC